AGAATGGTGTATTATTTCTGAAGACGGCTGTCACATAAAAAATGGCCGTCGGCTTGATTTTAGATGTGACTATTTGCATTTACAAGTTTTCACAGATTATTGATGCTTATACCGTAGTATAAAGATATAATTTGGTATGCTAAACGTTTTAGAATAAAAAAAAAACATGTCAGTGTATAATATGTTAACAAATTTCATTTATCATTGTATGGCTATATTAAAAAAGACAATGCCCTGAAGGCATAAACTTAACATTATAATATTTTAATATTCCAATGAAGTGCATAGCAATATCAGAAGCATTTATTAAAGAATAATGAAACAATACAACCTTCGGCATATAAACTCTCCCCTAACACATTCGATATTATAATGCTAAATCGCAAAAAAAAAATGTTCTATGCAAAAGCCCTTTAAACATTTCTGAAGGATTTTCCAAATTGTGCCCTACCAATAATGGAATTAAATAAAAGGTAAATAATTCCTTTTCGCACATACATATATTGTGGGCATTTTATTAAAATGTTTATTTTTTTTTCGGGGGGGGGGGACTATTTCGATCTTCATTTTCACATCTTAAATTCGTTTAAAATACTTCAATTTTTGTTTACTTACAATAATGAAAAACTTCTTACTCGTTGCCGGCGATTCAGTGATTTCAATAATGTTTATATTCACGGAATATTTATATAATTATAATGGGCACCTAAAGAATGTTAAACAATGTAGATCTATAATATTATTTCATACAATTTGAAGAAAACATATCTTGCGGCACCGTATTAAAAAAAAAGAATGGGCACAACAAAAACAATGGCAAGGGTTATTTAGCATTAACATCTTTATCTCCATACCAAATGCCATGCTTTTATCAATACAACATTCTTTAAAGTTCACAATTCCTACCATTCTGCTGGACTATTCATTCTCTGCTGGGGGGTATTTAGGAAGAAAATAAATCTTCTTCGAGATCCCTTGTTTAGTAACCTCTGGAGTTTGAACATTATCGCGGAAGGTTTTCTTCCGAACTTTTCCTGTTACCTGGCGAAAAACAATAGATTCGGTGAATTATGAAAGCGGATGATAAGTGCGGATGTGTCATGTATTAAAATACATCGAGTTCATCAAATTGTATGAACTGATCATAATAAGATAAACATGAATTGATTTTAATCGTAGCATTATTCAGACAAATCCAAAGTTGATTTTAGGCCAGATCCCAAATAACGTAAGTCCCTATTACTGGACCAGCCAGAGAATGAATAATTTTATTGGAAAGATTGAGCAAACCTATCGCTTAAGCCCCCATTACACCAAACTAGTTCTCACTACGTTCTCAAAAATGTTGCCAAACTGGCTCAAACCGTGTGCGAACGGAGTTGAACGTAATAGTAACTGTTTGCAACCTGTTTAAGGACTTTATGGGCGATCCTAGTTCGTTCATTAACAGTCCACAATACGTCCAACTCATCTGTACCCGTCCACAGTTCATATCAAGTTCAGATCGGGTAAACTTGACATTTCCTAGCAGTCTAAACCATTTTTTTGAAAGTCTTGATCTGCAGAGCTTGAAGCGTTGAAGTTGAACGGCAATGAACGGCGAGAACGCGCTGGGTTTTTACCCCCCCCCCCCCCCATTCCGGGGTCGGGATGACCGCATGCATGTTACCCAAATGTCCGGTAAAGGGGTACTTTTCGTGCTACAAAGTCCGGCCCGAGAATTGTAAAAAAAGGGGTGTAATTGACTTTTCACCCGGAGAATTCTATAAAAAGGGGGTATCTTTTTTTTCCTTTTTTCTCATCTCTTTGGACTCCTGAGAAATTATTCCGAATTTAGGGGGGTACATTGAGCATTTTTCCGTAGTTAGGGGGGTCTTCAAGGCAGGAAAAGCCCGCGAAAAGCCCGCGAAAGGGGGGTTCGGAAATGTTTGCAGTCCTCAAATAGGGGGTGCTTTCAAAAAGAGCGAACAAGCATACGCGTACCCTAAATAACACTGATGGGGGGGGGGGGGGGCGGTTTGTTTATAACTTCCAAGCCAGGACGGGATTGCACACGCTCTAGGAGCGAATTGGAACGCACTAAGAACGAGATGAGGACGATTTGATCTGCCTCTGAACGGGGTGCTCGGGTTAAAAACTAGTTAGAACAAGTAGCAAACTAGTTAAAAATGGGTTTGGACGTATTGGGAACGAAGTAGAACTAGTTAATAATAGGTTTAAACTGACTACGGACTGGCTTGGACTGCCTCATTTACCCGATCTAAACTTGATATCAACTGGACGGGGTACAGGCGAGATCGACGTATTGAGGACTGTTTTTTATGAACGAACTAGGATCACATTATAGACATTTTTTTAACGCATTCTGCTCCGATCACAACCCGTTTTAAGATTTTCTAGGACGGTTCCAGAACGTAGTGAGAACTAGTTTGGTGTGATGGGGGCTTTAGGAAATTTGCATTCAATGACATGTCATGTTCCCTTTCGCTATAACACATGATGACACATGTATACGCCCTCTATCAATAGGGCTGGGCAAATACTAGTAGTCCGTGGGCCAGAGGGGGCTACCGTGCACCCCCCCTATGATCCTACTTTTTGGGTGTCATTTTGTTCATAGGGATCCATAATATCAGAAAAAAGACGTTCCCAAGAAAAAAAACTCATTTGGACACTGTTTTTTTGCTCCTTATTTGAAAATATGTAAAAATGTCAGTTTTTCGTGTTTTGCACACTTTCTTAGGGTTTGTGAATTATGTGCTTACATTTTACCCTGTTTCTCAGCAGATATAACTCTAATCTCCACCAAATTTATAAACAATCTTCATAAACTATACCATAATAGGTGGACAAAAAAATTATTTTATTTTATTTTATTGTCTTCAATTATTACTGACGTCATAAATTTGCATATATTTTGATATGCAAATTTCTGTCTCAAAACCTGTCAAAATCACCTGAAAGTTGTATTTTGTCTGCTATTATCATGAAATAAGTTTTCAAACCCCCTAATTTGGTGTAAAATTATTCATTGATATGTTATCTGATGTTTCCTGCAAAAAAAATTCATTCAACTCATGTAGACATTGTTTTTTTCTCCATTATTTTGTATGTAAACATATCAGTTTTCCGTGTATTGTACATTTTCTTAGGGTTTGTGAATTATGTGCTTACATTTTACCCTGTTTCTCAGCAGATATATTAAGTCTAACCTCCATCAAATTGATAAACAATCTTTATAAATCATGCAAAAACAGGTAGACCAAACAATTTAAATTTATTTTATTGTCTTCAATTATCAATGACGTCATAAATTTGCATATATTTTGATATGCAAATTTCTGTCTCAAAACCTGTCAAAATCACCTAAAAGTTGTATTTTGTCTGCTATTATCATGAAATAAGTTTTCTAGCCCCCTAATTTGGTGTAATATTATTCATTGATACGTTATCTGATGTTTCTCGCAAATTTTGTTTCCACCCCCCCCCCCCCGCATATTACGATTAATACATTCTGTATATATAATATATTATTAAAAGACAAAAGCTCAACAAGCAGTATTTCAATTACTATTGGGGCTAGCCTGTTAACATCAAGGTAAATCAAATACAGTATATTACCACATACATCATCGTTTTCTTTTATAGTATCAGCCTGAAAAGGAGGGATCATACAAAAGCCAACTTATTCAGCAGTTGGTCATTAATCCCATTATATGCTATAATATAGTTTTGTTGTTTATACAAATGAAGGATCAAACGTATACGGGGTACAATTTCACGAATTTCAACTAACTTGACACAATTAGCAATGGAAGAAGCATGCATCCTCATTCTTGAAGACATTTCAGATGTGCACGGTTATCATCGGGAGTACTACCAACCTTTTACCAAGAATCTCAATCAACTGTCAGAGATCTTATCTGATACCACAGAACCTTCAACATCCCGTCCACCCTGATCGTCAATTGATGAAGTCATCTTCAACCCTGATTGTATCTTTTGTAAAAAGGAAGGCCCAAAATCAATCAAAGTGACAAGCTCTTGGACAACAGAAAGTTACCAATGTTAGATTTTTGTGGGTGGCAAAATGTTGTAGATGTTGCAAAGAGAGTGGGTGATGAAGACCTACTTTTGAGAATCATGGAAGTTGATCTGTTTGCTGCAGAAGCAAGATATCACAAGAACTGTCGGAAGAAATATGTGGCGAACTAAGAACCAGATTAAAGGAGAAGTGACAAGTACGATTAAGTAGCTAAACAGAGAACAATGGAAGTAGCCTACAAGAAAGCATTTGCCAGCATTATGTAGATTAAATTGTAGATGATGAAATACCTGGCCCTCAACCGCAGAAGCCATTGCCTGTATAGATGACCAGACTCCCACTGAGCTAGAGAAGTTTCTGAACCATTTGTTGAGTGGAAATCCATCTCGACCATCATAACGAGTGACTAAACTTGTCATATCTCTTGAGCAAGATATATGTAGGGCAGCCACAAGTGGAAAATGTCCAAGCATATTCTGGTATGGATGACTCTGAGACATCTCTTACGCAGTGCTCAATTGATCATATTCATGAATCGCCTTGTTCTTTCAGAAAGCTATTCATTTTCACTTGAGCTTGAATCTGCCATAGCACAAGCGCTAGAGGAGACTTTCGGTATTATATCTAGACAGGTAGTCCGCCATCCCGTGGAGCCATCAGTCTTTCATTCAGACTTTGAAGATTTCAACCAATACATTTCAAGCTTAAGTGGTTCTGGCTCTGTCCGCACAGCCCATGGGATTATGCTGCAGGAGATTTCTAACAATGAGACAGTTGAATCTTCAAATAGCACAGTACCCTCAGAAGCACAAACATGAACCAAAGAACGTTCCTTGGCTATTGAACATGAAGGTCCCCTTCCACCTTGCTATGTAAACTGATATAAAGCATTCACAAAATTTGCCAGAGATGATATTGCGTGTATGCTTGTCCGAAAAAGTAGTGGAGAGACAGGTCAAGAGCTTCCAGGTTCGGCCGGATTTGTCTCAGTAACATGGGAGGTGCCTTCAAATGTGACGACCATAGATATCCTGTTATGAAATAGAGAGTGCCCGAGAGCTGCAGAAGAAGCAAGCCGCGAGGTTGGCCAAGACTATATATGTCATAACAACATTTGACTTGGGCGTGTGCATGAAGGCATATCCTCTCATTTGGAGTCATCCGTACAATTACAAAAAACACATTGTGTTGATTGGCACTTTCCATTTGATTTGTGCATACTCCAAGACGTTTGGAAAGAAAATGGAAGGATCCGGACTCGGAGATATCCTGTTAGAAGCTGGTCTCATGTCTTCTGGGTCTATGAAAGACGTCGTAACAGGAAAGAACTGCGACAGGAGTCTGCATTGTCACCAGAAAATGGTGAAGTGCTTAGAGAGGCTCCTTTTTTTATAGTTCCTGTCAATGGCTGGAAAAGATGATGCACTCGTTGGTATAGCTGAGGAATCAAAGAATATCTCCCTAGAGCTAATTCGATTACCAACAAAGGAGAGGCTTGCTGAGGTTGTGGCTAATGCAGATCTGGAGGAGTTGATAGAGTCATATGAGAGCTTCAAATATGATGTTCGAAGAGGATCTCTGTGGAAGACGGCACAATTTTTGATGTCGTATGTTGATTGCGTTTGGATTGATCTTTCATTGATCAGGTCTGTGAAAGAAAATGACTGTCCATTGTACTTGCACTGCCTGATCCATATGCCTGACCTGGTCACAATTTCTCCCGATATCTGACCTACCTTGATGTATTCCTGGTAAACATTGAAGATTCACATCCTAGTGCCATGACATTGCTCGAAAGAGGTGCAATAAGTGTTGCCAGGTCGCTCATTCCAGGGAACCGATGTGCTGTCGACAAGACAATTGAGGAGATAATCCTGAAGCATGGCAAATCTCGCGGTGGGGGTCGTAGTGGTGTCGGTGTCTTTGGCATAATTTAGAACTACAGTGTATATCAGAGGTGGGCTCGAACATATGCAGATATGACGTTTGATGCTCAACGTGGAAATAAACACAGAGATCAACAACCAACTCAGTTGAGGAAAAGTGAGGGATGTGTATTTAAAAAAGGCCATAGATGACGTAAAAAGCTTCCCCAATCATGTTGATGTCGATGACAAGAATGGAGTGTATGTTTTTTCTTCCGGTGCCTGCGTTCCGGCTGAGGTTAAGAAAGATGTCATGCCTGCAATTACCACAGGGAAAAACCAGAAATAGATATTCATCGAAGAGCGATTAGAGAAAAAGACATTGTGCTCTGACCCCATCAAGAAACTGAAGCTTAAACCATGGCAGAGACAAAAAAGAAATTCAAGCTTAAAACATCCCAACGAAAAGTGAAAGAGTACAAGCAACAAGGGGACATTGCTATCCAGCTGATGGTAAAGGCACAAAGTTCAGGCAGCCAACTTGATCTACGGGAATTCTTTGATCCCTGTTCTCTACTCAATTGGAACATTGGAACAACTTCTTTGCTAAGACTGATACATTTAAGGGCCTACACTATCTCCATAAGGATGTAGAGAACTCGCACCTCCAACCACTGGCAATTCATTGGTAGTGGAAGATGGTAATGCTGTTTTCTACTACCTAAAAGAGATGCCTGCATACTTCCACGATAATTGCATCAAAAGTCACAATGGAGTGTTGTCCAAATGCGATGTCATCTTCAGCACAGACATGTAAAAGCCAGACTCTAGGAAGTCAAGTGAACGGACACGGCGTGGGTGTGCAGAGAAGATGATGATTAAAGGAGGCAAGACCAAAAGACCATCTGACTGGAAGCAGTTCCTAACGAATGATGAGAATTAGAAACAACTTATTCAAGTTCTTCTGGATGTCTTGAGTAATGTGCATACGAGTTGACTGATGCTGAATTTTTTGCGGGAGACATCAAATAACATATCGCTGTATATTTTTACATCAAATTAGGGGGCTAGAAAACTTATTTCATGATAATAGCAGTCAAAATACAACTTTTAGGTGATTTTGACTGGTTTTAAGACAGAAATTTGCATATTAAATATATGCAAATTTATGACGTCATTAATGATTGAAGACAACAAAATGAATTAAATAATCTTGTTTACTTGTTGTTGTTGATTTACAAAGATTGTTTATTAATTTGATGGAGGTTAGACTTATATCTGCTGAGAAACAGTGTAAAATGTAAGCACATAATTCACAAACCCTAAGAAAATGTACAATACACGGAAAACTGATATGTTTACATACAAAATAATGGAGAAAAAAACAATGTCTACATGAGTTGAATGAATTTTTTTTGCAGGAAACATCAGATAACATATCAATGAATAATTTTACACCAAATTAGGGGGTTTGAAAACTTATTTCATGATAATAGCAGACAAAATAAAAAAACTTTAAGGTAATTTCGACAGGTTTTGAGACAGAAATTTGCATATCAAAATATATGCAAATTTATGACGTCATTAATAATTGAAGACAACAAAATAAATTAAAATAATTTTGTCTACCTGTTGTTGTATGATTTACAAAGATTGTTTATTTATTTGATGGATGTTAGACTTATATCTGCTGAGAAACAGGGTAAAGTGTAAGCACATAATTCACAAACCCTAAGAAAATGTACAATACACGAAAAACTGATATGTTTACATACAAAATAATGAAGAAAAAAACAATGTCTACATGAGTTGAATGATTTTTTTTTGCAGGAAACATCAGATGACATATCAATGAATAAGTTTACACCAAATTAGGGGGTTTGAAAACTTATTTCATGATAATAGCAGTCAAAATACAACTTTCAGGTGATTTTCACAGGTTTTGAGACAGAAATTTGCATATAAAAATATATGCAAATTTATGACGTCATTAATAATTGAAGACAATAAAATAAAATAAAATAATTTTTTTGTCCACCTATTGTTGTATAGTTTATGAAGATTGTTTATAAATTTGGTGGAGATTAGAGTTATATCTGCTGAGAAACAGGGTAAAATGTAAGCACATAATTCACAAACCCTAAGAAAGTGTGCAAAACACGAAAAACTGACATTTTTACATATTTTCAAATATGGAGCAAAAAAACAGTGTCCAAATGAGTTTTTTTCTTGGGAACGTCTTTTTTCTGATATTATGGATCCCTATGAACAAAATGACACCCAAAAAGTAGGATCATAGGGGGGGGGGGGGTGCACGGTAGCCTCCTCTGGCCCACGGACTATAGTTGGTTTGTAACAGAAAGTCCACATTGATGTTAAAGTATCACTATGAACATGACAGACAATGAAAGCGGACAAAATATACAGTTCCTCAGGTAGACAAAGGAACATCCCTTCACTGCTATTATGTAAAAATGTGTAGAACAGGTGAATATGCATGTGACACCTGTTCTACACATTTTTACATAATAGCAGTGAAGGGATGTCCCTTTGTTTACCTGAGGAACTGTATATTTTGTCCGCTTTCATTGTCTGTCATGTTCATAGTGTATGGGCGTTTTTCGTATTGTCAGTTGCATGCATGTGGGCGTGTGGTCGTGTGCGCTTGAGTTTGTGTTTGTGTTTTAGTCCATTATCTGTATACTCGACTACTTGAACAACTTACCTGGTCTAACATGGTAGACAAGTCACTAACATGTGCATTCTCAAGGAGTTCCTTACATAGCATCTGAATAAACCATGCACCACCGATTGTGTCTCTATAGGCTTTGTTTCCTGTGAAAATTAGTAGGACACTTGAGCTCTTTATGATATCGTGCTTGTTTGTGTAAGGCGCATTCAAAGAAACCCTAAACTAGTTTCTTATTGCCAGATAACTGCATATTAAGCAGAAAGGAATCGCGTGGCTGACCTAAATGTAAACGTTCTGTATACAGATACGAAACACATTCCTTATCTTTTTTGTTTTATTAAAGAAAAATTATATGTAATGACACTAAAGACAAAATGGAGTAAGAATCAAACAAGCATTATGATGAGCTTGGATCAAGATAAATAACATCCCGATATAAACTAGCAAGGGAAAATAAAAGAACTGAGGATTCTTCATTTGTGATGAGGACTCTGCCTTTAAAAACGTAACTAAATAAAGGAGGAGTCGAGGAATAGTGTTTTATTCACGTGACTCTCAATCCAAGGGTCAAGGATTCCAATCCCAGCCCGGCGCTAACGTTCTTTGGCAAGACAGTAATTCAATCTCCTGGGGGGTGTTTCACAAAGATCCTAAGTTGAACTTATCTCTAAGTTGGACTTAAAAATTATGGAAAGCCATTAGCATCTTTGAAAATATTTTTGTAAAAGTTATTTTGAAAGGCATTAATTGTTTATTCAAATCATTCATATTTTCTATCATCAAGGAGATTTCATGTTCTGGATGTGGAATTTATAAAAAGTCTAAAATACTTGAATTTCTGCTTTTGAATATATTTCATTTTAAGACTCCAATGGCTGTCCATAATTTTAAAGTCCAACTTAGAGTTAAGTTCTACTTAGGATCTTTGTGAAACACCCCCCAGGTCACCCAGGTCTGAAATGGGTACCCAGTAGGATGATAAAATCATTGTAGTTATCTACTGTGAGCGTCTATGAGATGCCACCTGGTTGGAATGTTCTCCATGTTCCAGCGAGTGGAGAATGTGCATATATGATTACAAGATATGTGAACCGCAAAAATACATCGTCGCTGTATTAAGTGCTATTCAAACCCTGGATTCTATAATTAATGTTATTATTATTACTAGTAGTAGTATTATTAGTATTATCATTATCATTAATATTAATGATAATATACAACATTTATTAGGCGCTAAATACGGTTGTTTCTAGGCGCACCAATGTCTGTCTACAAATTACCAACCAAAACTTGTAATGAACACACAAATTATCATCTTTTTCAATAAATCATGTAATAATAAAAAAAGAACACAATTTAATACCACTATTGTTATTATTATTATCTTTATTATCATCAAACTCTTACCCCATGTTGTAGAATGGACAACGAGAAGGTCGGATGTGTCTGTTTTTTCTTTTTCGATGTCAGCTTCAGTTTCTACCTTTGCTTCTGGATAGGTATAATGACATGGTAAGAACAAATCTTATGGTTGAAAGACCACGGATGTGTGCATTTATTTGAATGGTGATTCAAGTATGATGGCGGGACCATATGCTACACATTTTCTTTTCAAAAGCCGGCTTGTTCAGATAAAACGTGGAAAAATCACGGCTTTTTTGTTGTTGTTGTTATGATGACGTAAATTGTTACAAGCTTCAATTTATGTATCTTATAGCTTCTCTGTTGCGGGCAGTTGCCATTCATTTTTTCCCGTTAAAAGAAGAAAATGGAAAAGAAAAAGGCGGCGGCTGTGTTTTTCATTGAGTGTATATGCGGGCTGCAGAGCTAATGGACCCACGTAGCTCAAAGACACCTTGGCCAAACACCATATTTATGTTTTCAAAAAGAAAGTAATTATTTTCAAATTGTAATCCCATTAGATATAAAAAACACGGTAGGAACGAATTCCTGACATGCTGTCAGGAATCGAACTCAACACTTTGCATCTTATAACCTTTAAGGTGCTACTTTATTGGGGACATATGCTGGCTTTCCACGAGTAGCAATCAACGAAAATAATTATTTGAACAGGATACTTTTATTTAGCACAACACAAAAAGATACACTACTGGACTTTAAAACCTCTATTTTTCATCATGGGCCTGTCAAGTACACCCATGTCATTATTGTGGTCAAGTAAAATAGGTCCATACATATTAGCGACAATCTATATAAGCCTAAATGAAATGGTAATGAGTGAGTGATTGAGCCTAAACAAAACGAATATGTGAGGTAAGGATTCGGAAGATGAGTTTGATGGGACACTTGATACAGGAAGGAAATTTCGAGACCCTTGCAGTGACAGAAAAAGCAAGGGAAAGAGGGCTAAATGAAGACAATTGGAATAAGTGTTTTGGTTAGAAGAGAGAATTGAAAGACCCGGGAATGTACCTCCTGGTGAAGGTTATAGAGACACAGTAATATACAAATACCATGATCGCATAATTCGTTAATATTGACACCTACTGAGAAAGAAAAGGGGGTAGGGGAGCTTGTGATATTTATATAGAGTTAAAGACAGTGACACCTACTTCCACGGCTACTCTGGAAGAAAATCATCTTCGGTTTTCCCTTCATGAACTTCATCCTAGAAACCTTATTCATGATAAACGTATAAGTAACCAGTCCATCAGTACACTCAATGCCTGTCGTGGAGCCGAGTCCCATGATCACGAACACAGCAGAGCACATGCCTTCATGGTTAGGAGAATCTGCAAACGTCTCTAGCTTGTTTTTAAGGTCCTGCATAACCATTCACGAAAACAAAGGACAAAGCGGTAGTCATTGAAGTTTAAATTTAATTTAAACAGACAAATACATGTATAAAGAGCCTTTCGTTTCGTTTTAGGTGATCTAAAGTCGACATCCGACCCGTCTACCTTCAAACGTAAAGTTTATTTTCTCTCGAATTGAAGTTACCTTCTTCAAATTAAAAAAAAAATCCAACGATGTTTGTAGAATTAGGCCAAGTAATTGATTATTTTGAATAAATATATACATTATTGCCCATGAAGTTGGAATAACAATTCTCATCTCTTTTTATGAAATGCTTGTGATACTTTGATTCATTCTTGATTAATACGATTTTTATCCTCGCTGAGGTTTATTCATAAATCTTTATTGAGCGATCTTTATTGATCAATTAAGTTCTGAAAGTACAAACACTCTTTATAACAGTAATACATCTTATTGTCAAAATCATTTAATGACGAGAGGTTATAACAATTTATTCCAACTTTGTGGGAAACAGTGATCAACTACTTGACACCATCAATTCCAATTGCATTATTGTTTGCATGTGGGGATGGAGAATGTATGGTTCGGATAGAAAATTCAATTTGATGACAAAACAAAGTTGAGGCTAAATAAGATTTTAAGTTGTTTCTGTTTCACGCCGCTAAGTTATATTATTAACAATAATAGGACAATAGATAAATAAAACAACATGCTCTTACCTCAGCTGTCAAATCCGAATGGGTTTCGATCTCATATCCTATTTCCGTGAACACGTGTTGAATATTTTGAACGTCGACATCTGTTCCCCTCCTGCCTTTTCTCATGTTAAAAAGGAACATGAGACCCTTTTCTTTATAGTCCATTTTGTAATTCTGAAATCGAGAAAATATTTTTGAATTTACATATCAGTATAATATATAAAAAGTTATGTTTAACTACTTTCCGTTGATCAATTTTCAGCAATTAGTGTTCATATAATTTATTACAAAATTTCTTGTTATTTTTAACAAGTCCTGGGCTAATCGTAGCACACATAATCTATAATCCAGGGTTAAACCTCTATTTTATTTTATTGAAAAATGTCCATCAACAAGTTCGTTATTTACTTTTAGACACACTGGCCCGAAAATCTCTCCCCTGAGATATCCGTGATACTACTTTCTTTAACTCTTTTAAATCTAAAATTAAAAAATACTTCATCTGTTTCTAAATCTATAATAATATGTGCATGTTAATACGTCTCCTATGTTGTGTACACCGTTTGGTTATTGTTATTTTTTTGATAGCCAATTGTTGGAACTTGTATGTATCTTTTAAAAACAGGGACTGCCTCGAAAGAACCACATGGTTTTATTTGCAGTTTCCCCCATTCATTTCTATTGCCGATTAACTTTGTATAATTCCGGTATATTTGGAGACATGTTTCCATATTTTGTGTGTTGTGTGTTTTCTATATTGTATACAATCTGTATCTCATATGTTTTTATGGATTTGAATTGAAATAGAACCTGAAACTTGAAACTTTAATTAAGCTTGCTGGGATGTTTGACTCATCAAGGAAGTGCCTATTGTGAAGCACACAATCCCTTAAGCAATGCCACAATTATGTTAATCAATGAACTTACCTTATTGGCCATTATGACATAAATATTTTATTTCATGACTACATTCATTTCAGATTTTTGTAACGAAAATTTGAGTTTAAGGTTTCACTTTAAGAACAACAATTAATTTGAAGAGTCACCCACCCAGTCTGTGCTCTCCCCGGTAAACAAAACTGAGAAGGCATTATTTAGGGTACAAGGAACTTGTCACTCGCTATTGTATATATATATATATATATATATATATATATATATAATTTCACTCTACATTCATCCTAGGTGAATATGTCCCTTTTGTTCCCAATAAACATGTACCTTGCACCTAAATGAAAATAGGCCTACTTTGAGCCATGCAAAACAGATTATTTCTTTTAGCACTGATAATAATGTATTAAACTTTCATATTGCTCCGAGTGTCTCATTATCGCTCGCGTGAACATTGCCAGCACAAAACACTGACCTCTACCTCCTGGACGGATCATCGCCCATTCCCATTCACTATACGTTACGTACTAAAAGGCTGTATTGTCTGACCGTTCATGAATATTCATGTTTTTGCTAAACTCGGCAAAATGTTTGCTTTTACTAAATGAAAAAATTACGGTGGGGGGTTGGATGAAATGGACATAATGAACATATCAGAAGTGATTATTGATAATTCATGCTTCTTGTCCTTCGTGTGCTTGACCTATAATCTAACAATCACTTGGCAGACTGAGTCCAAAGTTCTACTTGTTTATTATAGGCAATGGCGAGCTTGCAACCTATTTTGAAAAATTACGGTGGGTGAACTTTGAAAAGTCAAAGAGACATGAGGGCTCCAATGAAAGAGCTAGTGATAACGTACGTCGGGATGGATGTGCTTTTCGTTTATCATAATTTTTTTTTCACAGCCATTACCCACTTCCGTTATCCCACCATCAATATTCTTTGATCTTAGATATACCTATTGTTTTGACAGAATTCACTATTTTAACGACTTTTTAATACCATTGTATTTTGTGTAGTATCCTTGTGTTATTATTTAAGAAAACTGGTCTGATGAACCTTTTATCAATCAGACTAGAACTGTCCTTGTATCGAATGTGAGGTTATTCAGTTCTTGTAAAGGGGAATGAATTCTATCTATTTGGCTTAGTTTCATATATCGTCAGGCAATATTTTTTAGAAACCTTTTCTGGGTCCAGCTGCTCCTGAGAAGGGTTAGCTTGCTTCATCGTCTGCTTGTAGAAACCGTTGCTGTCAGGCTCAACTGTGAATTTGAATACACACATGAGTATGCTTGTATACCAATACTTAGAACTCTTATGATGGCAAATGTGTTTAATCTTAATTTTACACACTGAGTAAGAAATTTGGATGTGTGAAAGTATCTAGAGCAAATGGCAAAAGCTTCTAGAAGAGACGGATATCTTCGCTGTACAAGAAGTCGTTATCATCATGTCTGAGGCATATACATATGAATACTTACGGGTCACGTCATTATGAAGACATCGAGAGTTGTGTGGTCGAATTTAATTCAGGACTAATATATAGTCAAATTTCGTAAAAGTGTCGTAATTAAGTCTCTTCCTTTAGAATTGAGAAAGTTGGATTCAAGTCCATTTTTAAAGCCAGTGATGAATTAAAAACCCTCACGATTGTATTTTGACAATATCTTCGAAATTATTTGGAAAGCTAAAGGTTTTTTTTCAATGATATGAAAGGCAATGGAAATGTTTATCAGGAATTCCGCACGTACCTTCTTAATGACCTACCTCTCTGATTATTCAAATATCAGTTCATTGCCCAATTGATTAATGCACGGTGTTTGTGTGTGTGTGTGCGTGTTTGTGTGCATGTGTGTGTTTCTGCAAGAAAGAGATTGGATTCTTAATTTGTTTCATGATAGATAATTAAAAGGAGTTACCATTTATGTGTGGGTCTGGAAGTGGTTGCAAAAGGTCCGAGACGTCTTTTTCTTTACCTTAAAACAAGAGTTTTAAAGAAAAACAGCCTGAGCAATTCGCGGTGAAAAACACGTGTAATCTTAATTAGTCCATTTAAAAGGCATTGAAAGTATAATATGATGGGAGATATAAATGAAACATTGTTTGTCCCGTTAATTTGTCATAACATAATTCATAATAATTGTTCAATTCTTTAGCTTTGTGTGATATTACAATCTGAGGGAGCTTCAAGACAATTTATTTTGGTGTATTCATTTTTAAAGCATTATTATTTCGGTGCTCGAAGACGTTTACGTATATTGTTGGTCATTTGATCAGCAAATTAGGCTTTAATCTATTGATGCTACCCCAGAAAACTTTAAAATGATATTTTATTTCAAATTTTCGATTCAGATTCTATTTCGTGATGATCATAGGCTCGCCAAATACATCGTTACAGAATGGTATATCTCTTTATGTATTTGAGCGTCTTTGCCATATCAAATGACATTGTAGTCATAGAAGAAAAAAATGGCTCCATAAAATTAAAACAAAAAAAAAATCATTCGTTTTTTTCTGTGAGGTATTTTCGTTTCTGAAGGACTGATGATGATGAGTTTTCATAACTCAAACCAGTGATGACGAGCCATAGATATAGACATACCTGGATTGCTACGTTGCTTCTTCCGACGCTAAAATATGTTGGCAACACAAACACAATTTACTTTTTTATGTGTAGGGCTTTTAATTAAAAAAAAATGACGCCTAAATCTATTGATAATACCTCATAACATCTTAACGTGTTCTCTTCTTTCAAAGTTGTTTTGTTTCAGATTCTATTCCGTAAAGATTGAAGGTTCACCAAATACAAAGTATCATATAAAGATATAACCGCATCTATTTAAACTTCATCGCCATAATAAATGACATTGTGGTCATAGAAAAATCGGAAATATGGCTCTATACAAAAAACCTTTCCATTCGTTTTGCACTATGAGAAATTTTCTTTTCTTTGCAATACTGACGACAATAAGTGTTCATAACTCAACACAGTGATGACGAGCCATAGATATATAAACATACCTTTATTTCCTCGTTGTTTTCTCCGACGCCATACTACTGCAGCACAAATCACAGCCAATATAATAATGATGAATATGGTAACTGGTACAACTGCAAATAGATTAATGAAGATCGTCAACGAATAAAACTTCTCGTCGATCACTTTTCTTGTACACTCGAAATACTAAAATGATAAATCACCATTTCTACCCTTCTAGATGAACACTCTTAACATCCTGGATCATCCAGCATAAAATGTTGATTTTACATGTATACGTAACATGGTAAAAGTGTTGAACTGACATTTTCTTAAAAGTGGTAAATCCTCAGCCCTTTAAAATTGCGATTTCACATTACAGTTTTCAGAGTTCATGTGAGCATTTAAAACTACATTTAAAGATAAAATTGAGTTCTGGTTCAACAAAAGCAAAACACCCAATTCCTAGGCATTAATATTGATGAGTGCCTGCCTTGGCATGAACACGTACGTGATCTTTCTCGAGTTTTGTCTCGTTATATTGGTGTTATATACAAGTTAAAGCCTTTTGTTCCACTTAGTATTTTGTTCATTATTTATTATTTCTTACTGTAACATTGTATGGGCTATTAATAGGTTAAATTTGTCGTGGGTTTGGGTACTTTGATCATACTGACCCATTATTTTTCAAATTGAGAACTCTGAAAGTTACTAATAATCATCTTATGCAAATTGCAGTGTACCGACTTAATAAAAAAGAACTGCCCTAATAGTTTTGTAACGATTTTACTCTAAATAGAGACATTCACAACCAGACATTCTTCTGATTTCCATTTGTTTACACCATGGAGCGCCTTAGCCCAAATATCAATTAGAAATGTAGGTCCTGACATTTGGAACGCTTTGCCACCTGAAGTACGAGCTTGTAAAACCATTATATTATTTAAAAATAAAATGAAGGAATTATTTCTATTAAAATATAATTGTTAACTTTTGAGGTACATTTTGTATAGTGCTAGTTATGTCAAGAAGAGGTAATGTGTATTTCATTGTTTTTGCTTGTTATTCAAATACTTTAAAGGTACTATGTCCCATTTGCAGGCCACAAAATTGAAAAAGTTAAATTCTAACTGCATTTGAAAGATAATGCTAATTTAGAACTTCCCTACAAAAGGTGGGGCTTGAAAATGTCTTCAAGTGGGAAAATAACGACCATTAGTTGTCAAATCGACTAGGGCTATAGAGCCCAAAAGTAATAGTCTTGATTTTCAGACAATTGTACCGAATGGTCATACGTGTTATGCTGCGCAAAGATTCAATCAGTTTAATCTTGGCCATCACAAGAAGTGGGTTATTGATGTAGACAAATGCTCATGTACCCTTTACAACTCTTTTCATGTATGTTATTACCAAAGAAGAAAAAAAGCCAGTCAGTCACTCAATAGTGTCTGACAGTGAAGTCTAGCAAGTAAACGGGTTTCCTTGTATAATTTGAATATGAGGACACTGCTAACGTTTAAATTTCACAGATAGGACATACATGACATTTTCATAATTCATGCAAAGTTCTACAGAATTTGAGGTTGGCTGCAAAAGGCACATAGTAACTTTAAGGGGCATGATTTTTGTATTTTGTTTTATTTTTGTAACGAATGTCTTATTTTAAGCCATGTTCTATTTTTACCTAATAATTATCAACTATGTTACTTAGGGACGTTGCGCTTCAATTTTTTTTGTTAATGCATTGTTCCTATTATGTATTACATATCAATGTAACCCATTGTATTCTATTATCTGTAAACAATTATTTAACATGGTGAATAAATAAAACAAAACAAAAATTGTCACAGAATAAAAGAAACTTACACTGAATGTTCAAGATTACAATTTTGGTAGAAAATATATACTAGCTGAGTAATGAGCATAGAAAGATAAGGAAAACAAGGAATGTTTCAGTGATCGATATGAATTAATTTCATTAAGTCGATCAAGTAGATTGATTATATTTATGTTTAGCGCCATCTAGAGGCTATTAAATTCGTTCTGAAGAAATGGCACCCTTTTCGATATCCAGTGGATGAAATCTGTTGATATTGGAGGCATCCTTGTGTAATATGGATGTTAGATACACTTAAGAAGGCAGAATGAAGGTATGTAATGATGCAATGCCATGAATGTTGTATATAAATGCTGTAATGATGCGATATTATACAAATAATTAATGGTTATGAGTTCAATAGTGCGAATATTTTCATGAGTTGAAAGATTAACATTCTCTTCAACGAGGCGTCAGCCGAGTTGAATAGAATTAATGTTAATCTTTCAACGAATGAAAATATTCGCACCATCGAACGAATGAAAAACATTCATTATTTGTTTTATACAACATCGGAGAAGATCTCATAGAACGTTAATCAACAAATTATGCTTTACTCCTCATATTAAAGGTAAATCAAAGTTGGAGTCGAGCCTTCTCGATTACATTCAGAGTGCCGTCGCGTCAGATACACGCAGGGATACGCGCGCGCACGGCAGACAAGCGCGTAGCCAGGATTTCATTTTAGGGGGGGCGGTAGTGAGCACGCGAAGCGTGCGAATCACTTAAAGAGCGCGCAAAGCGCGCTCCCTAGGGGGGTGGGTGCAGGGAGGGGGAATTTCCCCCCTCCCGCGCGAAGCGCGGAAGCTTTGAAAGAAGACGATTCGTTGTACCTTTCTCGACATATAATCCTTGTCTGAATTCAGTCCCTCCCCTCTCTCGCGCGAAGCTTTGACGTTTCATTAAATTATTAGAGAAAGAAGACGATTCGTTGTACCTTTCTCGACTCTTAAATTGTCTGAATTCTCCCCCCCCCTCCTCTCGCGCGAAGCTTTGACGTTTCATTAAATTATTAGAGAAAGAAGACGATTCGTTGTACCTTTCCCGACTCATATTTCTTAATTTGAACTCAGTTTCCCCCTTCCCGCGCGAAGCGCGGAAGCTTTGACGATTCATTGTACCGTTCTCGACTCCTTTTCCCTTTTTCTTCCTACGTCCTCTTTCTTTTTTTTCTTCTCTTTCTCTCTCTTTTTTTTTTGGCCGGCGTTTTTTTTTTGGGGGGGGGGGGGGGGGAGGCGACCGCCCCCACCGCCCCCCTGGCTACGCGCCTGACGGCAGAGAAGTACGAAGTCTGCATATAACCAAAAATGCACGACCGTGCAAAATAACATCTATTAAATATCATGTGACCAACAATCCTCCAATCAAATGACAAGGATCCACGTAGGTATTGTATAATCTATGATTAAGTACCTTTCATTCGCACCTAACTCGCTGTGTGCATTACATGGATGTAACTTACATTGAACAGTAGACGAGACGGTTGGCTTACATACCAAATGTTATTGTTATGTAATGTACACTACGGCATGCGATTGAAAGGTACACGTATGCAAGCATGTAAACAAAGATTTTCCTAGTTTGAGTTAAAGTACAAAGATGAGTACTTGGGGTGTATAATATGAGAAAGTTGTTATATGAATTATTCAAGTTTATATTGATAGTTAATAGATGTTTAGTTTATAAAGATACATGTTGTAATTATGAACAGAAGTGATTTGGAGCAACGAGAGTATTGTAACAATAAAGAAATGACCAATTACAAAGTCAAAGATGCTTCCGCTACAAGGAAAGTTTAGCCCCGACACAATTTGTGTAGTCCCTTATACATCTTTATGTGTACAGTGCTTGCTACTTTACCAAAACTGTGCCAAATTTATTATGATTTTGATGACTCCAGAACCTTGCAGTTCACACCGATACTTACATGCTACATGATCAACTTTTTCTGATCCATTCCACACCTTTTCTTTCACAATGCATTCGCATGACCAGAACTCAACTTTATCTTTAATGTTTTCTTATGCGGTGAAACCCGCTAACATTCAGTTATACTTCATCTGAAATGAATGTGAAGTTAAGTTCGATGTACAATATACAACATTTGTGTGGATACTTTTACTAATACCTGATTTGATAACGGTTTTACACTGTTTATCAACTCTCGAATACTGGTCGAATAAGAAGACAACAAAGACATTTGGTCTTGAATTCTTACCAATTTTAGCTACACCTCCACTCCGAGATGAAGAGAGAGATAATAGAAAGGTCACGGTGACGGTCACTGTTCTTTTGTCTTCAGATCCCGGGATATCAGAAGCGACACAAACATAGGGGCTTTCGCTAGGTTCAGCGACGGTGGATATTGACTTGTTTTTCGTCCCGTCCATGTTTGTATCTTCCTTGATATGTGTTGCATCAATCTTTTTGGATCCGTGTAAGAAGAAGAGATCGATGTGTGGAAAGTAGCTTGAGGCAGAGCAGGTGATGGTAAAGTTATCAGAGGTTGAAAGACTACATGTTTGTTCAGCATAGTTGGGAAGTATTCTTGGACATTCATCGATAAGGGGGAAGGGTTCCATCGGAGGAGCTGAAAATAAAATAGTTTACTATAACTTTATCAAGGAAAATCATCATACGGCGTGTTTCTATCTAAAGCCATTATCCGCCATTATCCGGTTAATGGCCGGTAAGGGAAAAAGTTTTCCTAATAGAAACACACTTTCTCCGGCATTATCTGGATAATGCCGGAGAAAGATTTTACGCGTTCACCGGCAAAATTATCCTTCTTTTAGAAGGATAATGCAGGGGAGGCTAACCGGATAACGTAGATAGAAACACACCCCGTTCCGATTGAGTGCATATGCCGGTGAGAAACCGGAAGTAGGAGTGATCACGTGATCGGAAAATTTGACCCCGACACCCGCTGAATTTAAATAAAATGGCGGAAAACATCGCGTTTCTGTGGACCCAAGAAGATAGCCAAGCATTAATTACTGTGTGGGGAGAGGCAGATATCTTGCGGATTCTTGAGGGGAAAACTAAGAGAAACAAATTAGCCTACCTGAAAATAACTGAAAGACTTAATAATCAATACCTCATACAGTGCAATAAGAGCCAAGTTATAAGCAAAATCAAGTACCTCAAGACACAATATACAAATGGAAAGAAGGCCAACCGAAGCGGGGCAGGGAGAGATGACATTCTGAAAGTTTGTCCGTGGTGGGACGAGCTGAAGCCTATACTCGATTCAGGTAAGCTTAAATTTAACCAAAAGTTGCACCAATTTAAAATTGTTATTATTAGCATGCATTTCAATTGACGAAGTGTAAAAGTTAAAATAAAAAATTGAGTTCTAGCCCCGACACCATTTCTCCAGTCCCATATACATCTTTCTGTGTACAGGCTTGTTACCAGTGTTTACCAAGAGGCAAGATCAGGTTTATTATGATTTTGATGACTCCAGAACCTTGCAGTACACACCAATACTTACATGCTAGATCTACATGATCATTTTTTTTCTGATCCATTCCACACCTTTTCTTTCACAATGCAATCGTATTAGTTAATACCAGAAGAACTCGCCTTTATTTTCAACAAGTGTGCAACTGTCTGATGATGCATGTGGAAATGAAATCAAACCTGCTACAACTAGATCTAGATTTTGTATTTGTTATTATGAACATGATGAATGAAATGAAAGTGCTCTAGTCTATTTGTTTTTCTACGTACAGTGTCTGGTGCTTTTCCCAAGCCAATGCCTGGTTCAAAATATAATTTGTACAAAACTTTCCCCCTGCCCCTAGGTCTAGTAGATCTAGACCTATTATTATTAGCCAAAGTGGAAATTGCATGACCGGTCATGACCCCCTATGCTCCCTTGTAATTATTAAACGGTCCCTAAATAAAAACTTATTTTTGGTTGGTTTCTTTCACAGGGGATCTCATGACTCCTCGTTCCACAATTGATTCAGGTGCTGGTGGGGCTTCCCAAGTGAATTGGAGAAATGATGTTGAGCCCCACCAGCACCTGAATCGATCTTTACCTTCTTCGTCATCAAGACCACCAAGGCCATCATCGACAGCCTCATCTTTGCCCAATTTACTTGCAAGAACAACAGAAGCAGAACTAGATGTGGAATTCCAGCATGAAGATTTCCTGGTTAACCAGTTGGGATCGTTGCGCAGGTGCGTAACACCGGATGGCTTTCAAGGTATGTTTCTAAATTATTATAAAATTTGCTTTCAAAGTGACCCTTTGAAATACTTCAAATTTATATTAGGAATTCCAGTGAAAATTTTTACAAGGAAGTGATGAACGTAAGTTCCAAATTATTAACATTTTGGACAGGTTTAATTTTTATCAGTTCAATTTTGAAGAGATTTAAAAAAAAAAGATTCCCGGTAGATGAAATATTCAATTACATGCTAATTTTAGGAGAAGAAAAAAAGATTGACTGACACATGTATTTTCTCTTCTGAATAGGGCATATCAATGATACTCAAAATGGCCCTCAAGATGACTCTTCAGGTGATGACATCCAGGTTGATGTTGGTGAGGTGCCGGTGTTGCAGCTCCCTAGAGCTAATGTTGGTGCAGCTCGTGTCGGTCAGGTGCGAAGACGACATCAAGTTCAAGGTAAGGTGAAGTTCAAGTTAAGCCTAACTTCCAAATCAATCATGCATGTAACCTTTTTGCAGTGGTTAAACTCCATTAACTCTACCGCAGAAACCAGCGTAAATCCAATTTGGGACAATTTGCTTGTCGCCTTGTCGGTCATCCTGAGTAGATGAAATATTCAATTACATGCTAATTTTAGGAGAAGAAAAAAAGATTGACTGACACATGTATTTTCTCTTCTGAATAGGGCATATCAATGATACTCAAAATGGCCCTCAAGATGACTCTTCAGGTGATGACATCCAGGTTGATGTTGGTGAGGTGCCGGTGTTGCAGCTCCCTAGAGCTAATGTTGGTGCAGCTCGTGTCGGTCAGGTGCGAAGACGACATCAAGTTCAAGGTAAGGTGAAGTTCAAGTTAAGCCTAACTTCCAAATCAATCATGCATGTAACCTTTTTGCAGTGGTTAAACTCCATTAACTCTACCGCAGAAACCAGCGTAAATCCAATTTGGGACAATTTGCTTGTCGCCTTGTCGGTCATCCTGAGTAGATGAAATATTCAATTACATGCTAATTTTAGGAGAAGAAAAAAAGATTGACTGACACATGTATTTTCTCTTCTGAATAGGGCATATCAATGATACTCAAAATGGCCCTCAAGATGACTCTTCAGGTGATGACATCCAGGTTGATGTTGGTGCGGTGCCGGTGTTGCAGCTCCCTAGAGCTAATGTTGGTGCAGCTCGTGTCGGTCAGGTGCAAAGACGACATCAAGTTCAAGGTAAGGTGAAGTTCAAGTTAAGCCTAACTTCCAAATCAATCATGCATGTAACCTTTTTGCAGTGGTTAAACACCATTAACTCTACCGCAGAAACCAGCGTAAATCCAATTTGGGACAATTTGCTTGTCGGTCATGATAATTTTGATAATTTTAGGAGAGAAAAAAAAGGTTGACTGACACATGTATTTTCTCTTCTGAATAGGGCATATCAATACTCGAAATGGCCCTCAAGATGACTCTTCAGGTGATGACATCCAGGTTGATGTTGGTGAGGTGCCGGTGTTGCAGCTCCCTAGAGCTAATGTTGGTGCAGCTCGTGTCGGTCAGGTGCGAAGACGACATCAAGTTCAAGGTAAGGTGAAGTTCAAGTTAAGCCTAACATTGAATAAATTATGATTTTGACCCCTGATTTTAAAAGTCAGTGTTACCCCTGCAGAAGTTATGCTGTCCTTTATTCCAATTTTATTTGACCTACATGTACCCCTGGTTGAATTGGTTAGATGGCATTTTTTTTTTTTTTTTAACTTTTCAAAACTTAATTTTTTTAATGAGTATGAAGAAAAAAAACGCATTCTGCATTTGATTTTGAAATCATCATGGGCTTTGAGACAGAATTTTTTGTTTCTTTGGCCTAACATGAAATTAGCCTTAATATAACGCTAATTGTAGTTCAGAGATTAAACCTTTATTATTCATTTTTCCTCTTTTTTTGTAAGGTGGGCCTGCTCAAAATCGCTCCAAAATGACCAAACTTGAACAGTCAATGGACATCTTTATGCGCGATTTCAGGGAGATGGATGCTGAATCGGAACGGAGACACAGGGCAGAACAAAGACGAACAACACAAGAGCTGTTTGCATTTGAAGAACAACAGACACAGATTGAGATTGAAGCAAGGAGAGAGGAGGCGGAGAAAACAAGAGTTGCGAGCAGAGAGAATACACAGATGTTGGCTGACACACTACGTCAAGTGATCCAACCTAACCAACCCACATTCAACCAGATCGCTACCCCGCAACAGTACCAGCAACCCCCCATGTATAATCAGCACCAGGATCCAGTAACAAATCATCCTTATAATATCATACCTGCCAACCCTCCCGAATAATCCGGAATATCCTGTTTTTCTGGATTTTAGGACCCCAAAATGTGGAATATCCCGGATTTTCAAAATTTCTATATTTTTTTTTTTTTTTTTTTTTGTGTTGCTTAAGCCAAATTAACGGGATAGTTGAGTTCTGTTGCAGAGGGCGCTACACAAAATAATATTTTTGTGAGATAATGAAAAACTGAAGTGTCAAATTTGAAAGAACATAATATTTAAGTGACAAAATCATCTTTGTTTGATCAAAATCGGTTCAGAGACGGCTGAAATATAACGATTTCTAATACTTGTGTACCGCCACAAATATTAGATATTTTTAAAAATTTGAAAAAAACCGTTGAAAAAAACGAAATAACGCATTTTACGTAGTATTTCAGCCAATGCCGATGTTGTTTTTTTGTTGGCATTTTCGTGTTGCTTATATTACGCACAACCAGCCGGCCCATGTATTGTTATTTTTAATTAAATAATTGATTAACGGTCACCATGTTTCTTTGAAAGTGGAGCTGGATTGGTGTGCTCGTATTGGCTAAATTTCACACATTTTGGGGTCTAAAATTACCTTCATAGCAATTTTAGGTTCTAAAAGGGGACTAGAAATGTCATAGATAAGAATAAGAACAATAACCATGCACTTTGAAGGCATTTGCGGTCTGAAAACAGAACTCAACTATCCCTTTAAGCTTGTTTTATCATATGCCGCGATGTGAGAGTTCACGTATTGCGTGCGTTGAAGGGCTGCATGATTGATCAGCGAATTTGTATTCACTTTTTTTGCACAGATTTACCGCGTATTGCCTGTTAAGGGTACAGATTTCTTATTTTCTAAGACATACCGTGCTAAAAATTCTTAATTCTCATTTTCAAATGTTGGCAGGTATGTAATATGCAGGTGCAGACGCCAACTTCAAGTAGACGACAAGGTGGTAATGCTAGACCAACCGTACTATTTCATAATATGGACTCTGGTGATGTATTTGAAGGACAATAAATAATTTCTTCAGTTTCAATTTCTAAATTGGTGCAACTTTAAGTTTAAAGGAAACCAAAATCTTCATACTAAGTTACTTTTATTGTAAAGTTTAAGATATTTGAAAAATATCAGTGAAAATTTGAACAAAATCGGGCAAGGCTAGAGGGCGGTATTCAATTTGATGACATCATCTGTGAACAACTCTCCATGCCTTTTGTACATCAAATTTCATGTTTTTCCTTCTTTCTTGTGATTGAGATAATGTACTCCCCTGAAAGCAAGATATAGAATGCAAAATTATATTCTACTTCACATGTTATGAAGTCGGATCTAGAACACAAAGAAATACGAAGCAAACAAAAAAATTGTGAAATTTTATGTACAAAAGGCATGGAGTGTTGTTCACAGATGATGTCATCAAATTAAATACCGCCCTCTAGTGACTAGTCATTTCAAATAGCTCTAACTTTCTTATTCCTTGCCCGATTTTGTTCAAATTTTCACTGATTTTATTCAAATCTTTTAAACTTTACAGGGCAGGTCCAAGCTATTTGGATTGTGTGACGTACGGGACATTCAGAGACTTTAAACAAGAAATAACAACACATGAAATTATATAAATAACTTCATCTGTTGTTATTTCTTGTTTAAAGTCTCTGAATGTCCCGTACGTCACAATCCAAATAGCTTGGACCTGCCCTACAATAAAAGTAATTTAGTATGAAGGTTTTGGTTTCCTTTAAGCTCTCCCGTACGTCACGCGGCACATTAATTACATTAAAAATTAATTATAAAATTAGTCAGAACTTAAACTTTCCACAAATGAACTAGCCCATAATAGCCACAGACTCAAACCAAAAGATAGCCATATAAATAACTTCATCTGTTGTTATTTCTTGTTTAAAGTCTCTGAATGTCCCGTACGTCACAATCCAAATAGCTTGGACCTGCCCTACAATAAAAGTAATTTAGTATGAAGGTTTTGGTTTCCTTTAAAGGGAAAGTCCACCCCCAAAATAAGTTTGTTTCGATAGAGGCAGAATAATAAGAAAATCAGGTGAGTGAAAGTTTGAGCAAATTCTGAATGAAAATAAGAAAGTTATGAATTATTGAAGTTGTGATCAATCAAATACAAATTGGCAACTCTGTGACCTATTATACAAGCTCTCCTTCATTTGCTTTGTGCATAATATTCCATAAAATCATGTTTTCTTCGTTATTGACGACGGAATATATATTTGTTCCTTGCAGGGGGAGTATAGAAACATATTTGCAATTATTATATTTAGGGTGCATGTATGGTTGAAATTTTTCTTGAGGGAAAATGAAAATTTTAGATTTGTTTAGTACTGAGCAAATGGAAGTTGAGCTCGTATGATACGTCATAGAGTTGCCAATTTGTGTTTGATTGATCACAACTTCAAAAATCCTAACTTCCTTATTTTTAATCGGAATTCGCTCAAACTTTCACTGACTTGTTTCTCTCATTTTTCTACTCCTATTAAAACTAACTTAATTTCAGGGTGGACTTCCCCTTTAAGCTCTCCTGAATTGAGTATGGGCTTAAAAGTTCATCCCACCACAGACAAACTTTCAGGATGTCATCCTTGCCTGCCCCGCTTTGGTTGGCCTTTCCATTTGTATATTGTGTCTTGAGTGAGGTACTTGATTTTGCTTATAACTTGGCTCTTATTGCACTGGAGGAGGTATTGACTATTAAGTCTTTCAGTTATTTTCAGGTAGGCTAATTGGATTCTCTTAGTTGTCCCCTCAAGAATCCGCAAGATATCTGCCTCTCCCCACACAGTAATTAATGCTTGGCTATCTTCTAACTCTTCAGATACTTTATATCTGATGACTTGCGTCTCATTACATGGGAGGCCATGTTGACTATTGAGTATCGGCTTTAGCTCATCCCACCACGGACAAACTTTCAGGATGTCATTCTTGCCTGCCCCGCTTTGGTTGGCCTTTCCATTTGTATATTGTGTCTTGAGTGAGGTACTTGATTTTGCTTATAACTTGGCTCTTATTGCACTGGAGGAGGTATTGACTATTAAGTCTTTCAGTTATTTTCAGGTAGGCTAATTGGATTCTCTTAGTTGTCCCCTCAAGAATCCGCAAGATATCTGCCTCTCCCCACACAGTAATTAATGCTTGGCTATCTTCTAACTCTTCAGATACTTTATATCTGATGACTTGCGTCTCGTTACATGGGAGGCCATGTTGACTATCGAGTATCGGCTTTAGCTCATCCCACCCGGACAAACTTTTAGGATGTCATCTTTGGTTGGCCTTCTTTCTATTCGTGAATAGTGTCTTAACCCTTACTGTACTGGGATATTTTGAGCACCTCACTGACTGGGGGGGGGGGGGTATGATTTCGACCGTCGAATGTCCGATAAACACGAAAATGTGCATGTTTGTAGTTATTTACGTAAGGAACAAGATGGTATAACTAGTTTTTTCCTAATATGCAAATTTCTGTCGTTATAGCTTAATTAATAACCGGTATGCAAATTCCTAATTTTATGCATTTTACAGAAAACTCTACATATTTGTCTGTAGACTTGTGAAGTATCTTGAAAATGTATTGAATAAATGTTTCCTTCATCTTGAGGTTTCATTATTTGTATGATATTTGAAAATGCATAGGTTAATTTGCATAAATTATGAATACGCAGAATACGTATTCGAAATTCATCATTTTATTTTTTTTATGTATTTTATTGTTTTTTATTACTTATTATATATTTATTGTTTTATTTCTAATGTATTCTTTTGTTCTGGAATACATCAAGTTACTTTGAGTAACATATAAAAAAAAATAATTCATATCTTCCACTTAGGAAGAAATACATCTGAAAATTTGCGTAAGACTAGAGGGAAAAAAGTCATGAAACGACAATTCCAAGCAGTTGCGGTGCAATCTCCAAAAATGTCGAGGGGGGGGGGGGCCTCCCAGCCCCCACCCCCCCCCCAGTACAGGAAGGGTTAAGGTATTTGATTTTGCTTATAACTTGGGTCTTATTGCACTAGAGGAGGTATTGATTATTAAGTCTTTCAGTAATTTTCTGGTTAAGCTAATTGGATTATCTCCGTTTTCACCTTGAGTATTCTCAAGATGTCTGCCTCTCCCCACACAGTGATCAGTGCCTCGCTAAGTGAATCACAGATGGTGCTTGTCATGTGATAGCATGAATTATATTTTTGATCAATGATCACTGCACTCTACACAACTTCAGTGACAGTTAACATAATTATTGTTATTATTATTTTTGTGAAGGTTGGTTTGAAAAATATAAAACAAATATATCATGCACTATTTCAAGACACTAGTTGAAATTATGGATTCCTCTGCGACAAAAATGACACTATTTTCTTTGGGGCTTTGCCCCTCAGAAAATAGTGTTATTCCTGTCGCCGAGGAATCCATAATTTCAACTAGAGCCTCTCAGTGCATGGTATATTTGTTTACTATCGGGTGCAATATTTTGTTTCTATCTTGTATATATACCTTTACTAAGATTTTAATTGTAGATGTTAATTGTTATTTTAACAGTGGGTCCTATTTTTTTTTACTAATGCTGTTTTAAATAATTGTACGGATTGTTAGTCCGTACAAAAGGACCATATGGGCAAGGACGGAGCCCTTGTCACTCGGGCACCGTCCTTTCCCGTGGTCCTTTTGGACGGTCTACAGACTGCGTCTCAAAAATACATGAACAAGTATTAAGACAGGAGTGTAATGTGTGATCAATATCTCAAACCACTGCTCTCAACCTGGTCATGATGCTCTTTGCTTGTGACTTGCTGTCATCAAGATTCTGTCTCAGTAAATTATTTATTCCTCTAGTCTTTAAATTAATGTTGGAAAAGAACAAATAGGCAATAAGCAGTAGTTGTTGAATAATAAAGTTGAGTTTCATTAAGAAAATGCATTTTTCTTTCATTTATTAATTCATGGTACAATGTAGATTAATTATACAGTTGGTTTAACATTAAACAAATCTCATAGATCATCTCCCATTGTAAATAATGTTGAATAATAAAGTTGAGTGTAGATGTTTGGAATGAAATATAATATGTACAGTATCAATTCATTGCTTTGTGAAGATTTATATTCACCTAAAATTAAATTGAATTAATATTGTTCAAAGAATTCAGGAATTGATCAGATCAGTTTTGTCTCCGATGTTTATCATTAATAATGGTCTCTTTTCACTCTTAACTTTCAAATTATCTTTAAATGTACATCTAGCATCTGAACAAGTCCCTTTAAGAAATGCATTTTATTTAAGTTCTTGAATAATAATGTACATCTCAGTAACATGAATGAAGTTAAAAACATGTTAAAAGTACCAAGAAATCTGAAAAGGAAAGACAAGAAATACAATCTTCTTTTTTTGTTTAAAGTAGTACCAGTACCAGTTTAAACAACTATATTTCATAATGCTAATGTTATACAGCTCAAAAAACTGATTACTTTACAGTTTGTAAGATTACAAAGAAATGCATTGTTCATGTACATCTCCAAAAAAATGTTTATAATGTTGAATAATTAAGTTGAGTTTCATTAAGAAAATGCAGTTTTCTTTCATTTATTAATTCATGGTACAATGTAGATTAATTATTCTGTTGGCCGTTGTGTATTATATTAACACAGGCATGTGGCCATCGACCAATAAAAGCGAACATCGTCAGTCTCGTTGCACTTTTTACATTTTATTCACAATCATTAGCGTCAGATCCAACTTCAAGTACTCATTCAACAAGACATAAACATGCTAGAATTCACAGATATTTAAGTCTACTCCAGAGACGAAATGAGATGGCTAGGAGAGAGAGGCGAAGACGACGATTCATGGCACTGGCTGAAATTGCGATGGTTTACGCAGGCACTCGCGTTGTTGACGTCGACCAGGCTTGTATCCAACAATATACAACTTGGTTTGAGGAATGCGTTTTGTTAACAGTGGCATAGGAATTTCAGAATGAAAAGAGCAACCTTCTTCAAACTCTGCGACGACTTGACTTAAGAGACGATTTGACCAAAGAACAAACCCGATTTAAGAAACCAATCTCCGTAGAAAAGATAGTTGCTGCAGGCATGACTTCTGTGACGATTTTAAAATCTGTGAAAATTAATGTACCACAAATATATCTCCATCAAGTACTCATTCAACACGACATAAACATGCTAGAATTTGCAGATATGTAAGCCTACTACAGAGACGAAATGAGATGGCTAGGAGAGAGAGGCGAAGACGACGATTCATGGCCCTGGCTGGAATTGCAATGGTTTACGCAAGCACTCGCGTTTTGGGAGTCGACCAGGCTTGTATCCAACAATATATATACAACTTGGTTTGTGGACAGGCAGTGGCATAGGAATTTCAGAATGAAAAGAGCAACCTTCTTCAAACTCTGCGACGACTTAAGAGACGATTCATGGCCGATTCACGACGATTTGACCAAAGAACATACCCGATTTAAGAAACCAATTTCTATAGAAAAAAAGAGTTGCTGTAGACAGAGACTACAAAATGCTCTGAGTCAGAGTGACAACCTGTATTTATACATTCAATTCAATTCAATTCAAATCAATACATGTATGCATTCAGTCCATAAATACATAAAGTTTAAGCATTCAGTCCACAAACTATATATGCTAAATGGGATTAGTCTTAGACTTTAACATTTACTGGTACTACATGTACATGTACATGTAGGTGGTACCAACTAACCAACAATATAAAGGTTGCAGGCACATTGTTTATTTATTTAAGTATACAATGCAAGTGCAGGCATGACCTCTGACGATTTAAGAAATGATTTAACCAAAGTACATACCCGATTTAAGAAACCAATCTATAGAAAAAAGAGTTGCTGTAGACAGAGACTCTACAAAATGCTGCGATTGAGTCAGAGTGGCATTCCATATATTTATACATTCAATTCAATTCAATACATGTACGCATTCAGTCCATAATTGCATCAATTTTAAGCATTCTGTCCGCAAACTATATAAGCTAAATGGGATTGGTCTTAGACTTTGAACATTTACTGGTACTACATGTAGGTGGTACCAAACTAGCCAACAATATAAAAGTTGCAGGCACATCAATTCAAATGCAGGCATGACCTGACGATTTTAAAATGTGTGAAAATTAATGTACCATAAATATATCTACTTCAAGTACTCATTCAACACGACATAAACATGCTAGAATTAACAGATATTTAAGGCTACTACAGAGACGAAATGAGATGGCTAGGAGAGAGAGGCGATGACGACGATTCATGGCACTGGCTGAAATTGCGATGGTTTACGCAAGCACTCGCGTTGTTGACGTCGACCAGGCTCGTATCCAACAATATACAACTTGGTTCGAGGAATGCGTTTTGTTAACAGTGGCAAAGGAATTTCAGAATGAAAAGAGCAACCTTCTTCAAACTCTTCAAACGACTTAAGAGACGATTTGACCAAAGAACAAACCCGATTTAAGAAACCAATTTCTATAGAAAAAAAAGTTGATATAGCGATTTGGAGCATGGCGACCCCATGTGAATTTCGAACAATCGCCCTTTTGTTTGGCAGCCTGCAAGATTACACACAAAGTGTGTCACTTCATTTTTACAAGACTTTACAACAAGTACATTAAATGGCCAACCACATCCTGCAAGATTACACACAAAGTGTGTCACTTCATTTTTACAAGACTTTACAAGCAGTACATTAAATGGCCAACAGGTAACTGATCGCGTAAAGTCCTCCATGGATACATGAGCAATCACAACATGCCCGAATGTGCCGGTGCAGTTTCCCTCCCTGAAGAGCATCATAATGACTATTGCAATAGGTAGAGCTTCACATAACAGTATATCATCAGTTTATGTTCTTAAATGTCAACGATTGTTTTGGAGATACTCCAGTAAAGCCTGTCTTACAGCCTTCGGGTCGATCACCACCGGATTTGCAACAGCAACATCATGATCTTGCTCAGCTTCTTGGCCCTGATTGTCCAAATTATTCACTTCTAGTATATCAAAATCTTCAGGTAAGTCTAGTGGTTCCCTACGAAATGGATCCTCGTTGTCAATGCAATAGTTATGTAGCACACAACAACAAGCTACGGTCAGTGGCATAAAGTCTATATGAGACTCATTTTTTTTATTCAAACATCGCCAACGTCCCTTTAACTGTCCAAATGTAATTTCAATCAATATTCGTGCAGAACTAAGTGAGA